AGCATCATTAGTAATAATTGGACTGTCTAAACTATCTAAGGTCTAAGCACAGAGAAGTCAGCCAATGATAGTGTGGTCTGGTTGTAAACTTGCAAATCATCAACACTGTATTTGGAAAGTTTTCTTAAGCTCAACTGAGTCTAAGTAGGAAATATGGGGGCATGGTAGAAAGTTTCCCCAAAGACAAAACACTTATGCTCAAGACATTCGCTGAATAGATTTGTGCATGAGTTTAAAAAAGAAGGGGAAACAGTTTTACTCAGAATAATAAGGAGCCAACATGTTTTTGACATTTGCTATGCAACCAATCGTCATTCATAGATGATGCAGTAGGTAGATCTTTCATTCTGGATTCCTGTTAATGTGCTTGAGGAAAATATCCTTACATACAGCTCTGTATGTATGGGGGGCTCTTTTCTTGATCACTTTACACAAAACTGGACAGTGTCTTCCTGGAACTGTCAAATAACTTCTGGATTTAGACTCCTTGTGAGTTCATTTTCAAATTAAACCCCAGAGGTAAATGTAAAAAAGCAAAGGAGAAATAGTTGCCATAGAGCAGTATATAATGATGAGGAGATCTGCTTATCAAGAAGCCTATCAAAAAATAATACTACGATAAAATATAGTACATGTTGAGTAGCATGGACATCAACAATTGTAGGGCATTAGGGAGGTAACGGTTGATCCCAAAGGGTTACATTTTTCTCCCAAAATTGAGGGAAGGAGTGCTAGTTTCTCCTATCTATAATTTGCAAATTTTCTCTTCCGAATGGCACCTTTATCAACGATTGGAGCTCTTCTTTTTAAGAAGAATTTAATGACATAGAATATTTGTTCATGAGGTCCCAGGAGATATTGAATGAGACAGAGGCAGCTAAGTCTGGGTTCCTTCATAGTCTTTCTTTTTTCTTTTTTTTTAAATGACATGATTTTCAGTTCTCCCCTGCACAGCAAGCGTGAATGCATCACAATCAAATCCCAACACTATGACATGACTGGTCACAATAGGGAAATAAGAATCCCATGTTGTGTCTCTCCAGGGAGATGCATTCTTTATTTGCTGTTACCTGGAATGTTAGGTTTCATTTTTGGCTTTTTAATAAAGGTAACAATAGTGTTTTATCACAGCATTCATGCCTCCCTTTGGAGTGGTGCGGTGGCCTAGAGGTGGAGCTCTTGCTTCACAATCAGGAGGCTGTGAGTTCGATCCTAGGTAGAGGCAGATATTTCTCTCTCTGAGAGAATTTATCTGCTGAACAAAATTCCGCATTGGCAATAGGAAGGGCATCCGGCCAGTAAACACTCTATTAGCTCCATTCAGGTGCCCAGACTCTACCCCGCAAGGGATTATAGGGTCGTTAAAAGAAGTTGTTGGTGATGATTCATGCCTCCTTTTGAAGTTCAGGAAATCAAACTTTCAAAAGTCCTCACTTTTTTATGTTAAAAGAATCCAGATATTTTGCTTTCCCCACTTTGGAAGATGCTTTGTGAGCCATAAAGAAATGCTGGTGAGATGCTCATTCTGTATCCTGCCCTTCCTTTCAAGGTAAGTGCGAGAATGCTGTAACATGGGGATCAGGTCCCATCCATTTTCTTATTATTTGCTTAGATCCAAACCCTGAACTTCAGGGTAAAATGGCAGGATCTAAAAAAAGAAAAGAGTGTCTCTTGTGAAATAATTGCTGACTTCATTTGGGACTTGGCAGTTGTCAATCATGTATGTTCAAAGGCAATTGAAGAGATGGCTTTTGGAGAGTACCAGAATAAAAGCTCCCTCCCTTGAATGTCTTATTTCTCTCCCCCCCCTCTCTCTCTCTCTCACACACACACACACACACACATTAAAAGTTTTAAAGAGAACATAAAAATAGCACAAGTGAATAGAAAATAAAGGAAACAAAGAGAGAAAAGACAAAAGTGCAGGAAGATTAAAACAGAAAACGCTTCCGATTTCCTTTGCAGAAAATATGATTACAAAGCAATCTTTCACTGTGTGATTTCAAAAAAAAAAAAAAAGGCTCGCTTTTTCTATTATTTAATTTTTTTCCTCTGATGATCAAAAACACAAGTCACAAGTACATTGTTTGCTGTTTCATGCAAAAAAAAGTCTCTAAGGGGTTTCCAGTCAGCCAAAAATGTAGATATTATCAAGGAAGTCAGCTGGGTCATCTCTGCAAACTCCATCATTGTCACCAAGCATTCCTCCATTGTGGGTAGTGTTGAACTTTTTCCACTTTTGAGTACGAGAGGTCCTTGGTGCTCTCTGAGTTTGCTTGTTTTCTTGCAGATGTTTCATTACCCAAACTAGGTAACATCAGCACTGATGATGTCATCTAGTTTGAGTAATCCCAAAGGTCAGTGGTGAAATGTAAAATTTGTTACTACCGGTTCTGTGGGCGTGGCTTGGTGGGGAGGGGGGGGTAATGTGACTGGGTGGGCGTGGCCAACTTTTTTTTTTTACACTTTTAAAAGCATTTTTTCTACAACGTTAAGAGGTTGCAGGAAAAAATGCTTTTAAAAGCCTCTGACGATCAGGCAATTCAGCTGGGATCGTCAGAGGCTTTTTAAGGCATTTTTTTTTCTACAACCTCTTTGGCCGAAGAGCTTGTAGAAAAAAAAATGCTTTTAAAAGCCTCTGACGATCCCAGCTGAGCCACGCGATTATCAGAAGCTTTTTTTTTTAACTTTTAAAAGCATTTTTTCAGTTGAAGAGGTTGTAGGAAAAAATGCTTTTAAAAGTAAAAAAAAAAAAGCCTCTGATGATTGCGTGGCTCAACTGGGCATGGGGGGGGGGCAGGGATTTTTGCTACCGGTTCTCTGAACCACCCACCACCATCGCTACTGGATCAGGCGATCCAGTCTGAACCGGGAGCATTTCACCCCTGCCAAAGGTGCTTTCAATTTGAAGACATTTCTCTTCTCATCCAAGAAGCTTTGTTAGCTCTGAGCTGAAGAAGCTTCTAGGGTGAGAAGCGAAATGTCTTCAAAGTAAAACAAGAAGTCCAGTTGCCTCTTGAAATAAAGCACTTTTGGGACAATCATGACCTGGATGACTGAGAATCTCCGTAGACATTTAGTTTGGATAATGAAACGTCCACAAGAAAACAAGCAAGCTCAGAGACCACCAAGGACCCCTCATTTCAACCCTGAGCTACAAATATTCTCCTGTATTGGTACTTTTGAGCATATAGAAATTTTGGTGCAGTTGTCACGTATAAAATCTAAGTTAAATTGGCTTTTCTTCTAGCTGGTGGTCCATTAATCCCCAAAGGAAGGTTTCTGGTCTCAGCTATACTTTAGTCTTTAAAATCTTCTGAATTAATGAATGTTCTCTTTGAGGCTAGAACATAATGTACCATATTTTTCAGAGTATAAAACACACTTCCCCCCCAAAAGAGGGTGGAAATGTTGGTGTGTCTTACACACCAAATACAGCTATTTTTGGCCTCCCGAAGCTCCACCCCACTTGTTCCATTTTTTGCGAAAAATGGGCCCGTTTTTCACAAAAACAGGGTGCACAGAGGGTTTGGGAGGCCTGCAGAGTGCTCCTGGGGGCCGGGGAGGGCAAAAACTTTTTTTTTTCCTCTTCAATATCTTGGTGCGTCTTATAGTCCGAAAAATATGGTAAATTATGCCTTGTGACACTCTCAAAGGCATCTGCTTGGCTACTATGCAAAACAGGATGTTGAGTGGAGGAAACTGTAGTCCAGTCGAAAATAATTTTTAAAGGGAAAGCACCATTTTCATCTAATGAAGAATTAGGACATGCAGATAAAGGCATGAGACCTGTTGTATTGCATTGTTTGGCAAACCAGGGCAGACTAAAGTGAGGGAGAAAAGTTTTTGCTTCCATTTCCTCCCAAGCCCCCAATTCTTTCTTTTATGGAGTGCCTAGAAGTAGACACTGCTATAGGCACACTCTCAAGCCACGGTTGCTATGGCAACTCTAGTCGCTCAGTCTATCATAGCAGGCATAATGAGAACAAAATCTAAAGATAATGTGTTCTCAAATGCTACTTCTTCAAGAAGCGTTGCTAATCTTGGATGCCTCTAAAAGAGCTCCTGAAATCATTTAGGCTTCAGGAGAACCATATCTCTGGATGATGTTAACATCACTGGTCCTAGTGGTGGCCTCTTAATAGCAGGGTGAGGTACTCAAGAATAGAATAACAGAGTTGGAAGGGACCTTGGAGCAGGGGTGGGTTCTACTTACCTTTACTACCGGTTCACAACGGGGCCGCACATGCGCAGAAGCATTTTGATGACGTCGGGGTTGGTGGGCGGAGCTTCCCGCCAGTTTTACTACCAGTTCTATAGAACTGCTGCGAACCCGAGGCAACCCACCACTGCCTTGGAGGTCTTCTAGCCAACCCCATGCTTAGGCAGGAATAATCATCATCATCATAATATAGAATAACAGATTTGGAAGGGACCTTGGAGGTTCCTGCTCAGGCAGGAAGTCCTGTACCATTTTAGATAAATGGTTGTCCAATCTCTTCTTAAAAACTTCCAGAGTTGGAGCATTTACAACTTCTGGGGGCAAGTTGTTCCACTGATTAATTGTCTGTCAGGAAATTTCTCCTTGGTTCTAGGTTGCTTCTCTCCTTGATTAGTTTCCACCCACTCCTTCTTGTCCTGCCTTCAGGTGCTTTGGAGAAGAGCTTAACTCCCTCTTCTTTGTGGCAGCCCCTGAGATATTGGAACACTGCTATCATGTCACCCCTAGTCCTTCTTTTCATTAAACTAGATATACCCAGTTCCTGCAACTATTTTTCATATGTTTTAGCCTCCAGTCCCCTAATCATCTTCGTTACTCTTCTCTGCACTCTTTCTAGTGTCTCCACATCTTTTTTACATCGTGGCAACCAAAACTGGATGCAGTATTTCTCTCCCCAGGCCTGAAATTGGTGATATACTTTGTCGTGGTGAAAACAGCAGATAAGAAGGTAGGATTGAAATGAGGGAAATTTAATTTCTTTCATTTTTGTTCTGCCTAGGGATTTTGTGTGCTTGGGAGAGTCTTCTGAAGAACTTCAATCAGGATGACTAATTATGGGTAAGTATAGTGTTGGAGAATTAACATGCCAAGGTAGGAGTAGAGAAATGAGATATATTGTACCTGTCTCCTCCTCTAGTTAATCCCTTGCTCAGACGTAGACATACCTGCCTAGTCTCTGGCCTGCAGGTACTGATGTTATATTCCAGGTTCATGAATAGTGAGGTCTTCAATATCTATGACTTGTTTATGGAAGTTGTTGGAGTGATGGAAGATGTAACTCTCTCAGCTGTGGTCTTTGGTGCACTAAAACAGATCAGTGATTAAAAGGAGAGATCTATAGGAATTCTCTTTGCCCCTCCAAATTTCTTGTCCACACTTACCTTATAAAGTCCATTCTCAAAACACTTTATGGGCCCCTTCACATAAAGATTTTTTAAAGTCCATTCAAGCACTTACCTTTTATGTTAACTCTTAACATAAAAATTTGGAGAAGATGGAGGACTTTTTTGGTGTGTTATCCAGTCTGTCAGGCAGGGGTGTCAAACTCGTGGCTCACGGGCTGAATTCATCATGTGCTGGCCATGCCCACCCCCAGTTTAGCAAAGGGGCGGGGAAGTCATGATATGTCACGTGACAACAACATGATGCTACGAGATTGACACCCCTGCTGTCAGGTAATCTCATTAGCTGAGAACAAGGAAGTAGCCTCAGATTTGATGTTCAGCACTCCCAAGGTGATGGTCTAATGGACTTCTATACCTATCCTAAAACCCTCATAACTGGAGGAGCTAAGAATTTGTGTTCGTGTTAATTCTGGGACCTGTCCCAATTTAGGTGTCAAGTCATATTCTGGATCTGATCTACTTGGCAGGAAGATTGTAGTCTGAATGTGGGAGATTTTGCATTATTTCCTTTATAAGATCATTTCCTGTTAAGATTTAGATATGCAGCAACTGTTCCTCTTTTCAGGGGTATAAGATCCATTGGAATAGTCTGTCCCTAGAGTCTGAAGAAGTCCAGAGAACACTCAAGTCAAAGCTATGATTCCCTTGTAGAATACAGTAATCAACAGTATAACGGAAGGGACCTTGGAGGTCTTCTAGTCCAACCCCCTGCTTAAGCAGGAGAGCCTATATACCAGTGATGGCGAACCTATGGCATGTGTGCCGGAAGTGGCATGCCAGCTGTTGGCACCTGTTGCTCTTCCGGATTTCACTGTGCACATGAATACCAGCCAGCTGATCTTCACACCAGAAACCGGAAGAGCAGTTCCCTGGCATGCATGAGTGCACCGGGAAAGCTGAGCTTCCATTTCCAGGGTGCGCATGTGTGACAGCCAGCTGGTGTTCGCATGTGCATGCATGCCAGAAACCGGAAGACCAGAATGACTGGAAGCTGGAAGCTCAGCTTCCCAGTGCGTGCATGTGCACCGGTGTTCTTCCAGTTTCCAGTGCTCCCGCACGTGAGTGCCGGGGAGCTGCTCTTCCGGTTTCCAGTGCTCCCACACACACGTGCTCCCATTTTGGCAGTTGGTGCCAAAAAGATTCGCCAGCACTGGCCTATACCATTCCAAACAAATGGCTGTCCAATCTCCTTTTAAAAACTTCCAGTGATGGGTCTTATTACAGGAGGGGACAAATCAGCAAACAGGGAAGAAATTCAGAAGTTATCTACATGGTGCTCAGAAAACAACTTGCATCTAAACACCTGCAAGACAAAGGAGATGGTGTTGGACTTCCGGAAGCAGAGAAAGGAACCTGCCCCATTCTATATCAAGGGGAGCTGTGTGGAGAGGGTCTCCTCATTCAAATTCCTGGGAGTGCACCTTAGCCAAGATCTCACCTGGAAAAATAACACATCCCAGGTGGTTAGAAAGGCTCAACAGAGACTCCATTTCTTTAGGGTCTTGTGGAGAAATCAGGTGGAACAACAGCTGATGACTTCCTTCTACCAGTTCAAAATAGAAAGCGCCCTCACATATTGTGTCACGGACAGCCACGGACAGGAAGGCATTACAGAGGGTGATGAGCACAAAAAATCACGAGCTGCCTCCTAACCCCACTGGATGAAATCGCCAGGTCCCACTGTCTCAGCAGAGTGAGGAAAATCCTTAGGGATGATTCACACCCTGGACAGCATTTCTTTATTCTCCTACCATCGGGCAGGAGATATAGACGCATAGGCAGCTGAACGAATAGGCTGAAAAATAGCTTTTATCCATGGGCTGTCAGACTTTTAAACGCAACGTAACAGCACAATCAGGCTTAATGTGATAGACTTACAGTGCCAGGGTAACATGCAACATGTATATAACAGTGTAATATAATATTATATATGTACCCTGTTTCCCCCAAAATAAGACATCCCCTGATAATGAACCCAATCAGGCTTTTGAGCGCATGGCAATAAGGCCAAGCGCTTATTTCAGGGTTCAAAAAAATATAAGGGTCTTATTTTCAGGGAAACATGGTATGTATGTGTAAATGTGTGCTAGTTCATTACTTATTTGGGTTTAGGGATTTCTTTTTTATTGATTGATTTATCGAGATGTATTCTGTGTTCTTCGGTGGGCTGCACCAAGGGAGTCTCATTCAATTTCATTGTACACATGTCGTGCATTGACAATAAAGGTTTGAATTGAAAGTGATGGAGCACTCGCAACTTTATGCCATAACATACTCCTGAGTATCCTGTCCTAGAAAACACAGCTTATTCAGCCACCTAATATACACACTGACTGAAATTAGGAAGGAAGGTGGGGAATCATTTAATGCAACTGGAGGAAAATTCATCTCTTCGATTAAATACTAATAAGACACTTACCAAGGCTATTCTGTGATCGCAAGAAAGATGGGGAAAAAATCTCCATGACTTCATCTTCTCAATATTACATAGTAAAACTTTTCTAATTAGTTAAAGGCTTCTTGGGTTCTAGCCTTTCAGGAGATCACACTGAACAGCTCAACAGCTTCTGTAAAATATTGGCTAGATCAGTGGTTCTCAACCTGTGGTCCATGAACCCTTGGGGGATTGCGAGCAGGGGTGAAATCCAACAGGTTCTGACAGGTTCTGGAGAACCGGTAGTGGCAATTTTGAGTAGTTCGGAGAACCGGCAAATACCACCTCTGGCTAGCCCCAGAGTAGGGTGGGAATGGAGATTTTGCAATATCCCTCCCCTGGAGTGGAGAGGGAATGAAGATTTTGCAGTTTCCTTCCCCTGGAGTGGGGTGGGAATGGAGATTTTGCAGTATCCTTCCCCTGCCACGCCTACCAAGCCACACCATGCCTACCAAGCCACGTCCACAGAACCGGTAGTAAAAAAAATTTGAATTTCACCCCTCATTGCGAGGAGGGTCTGCAAAGATTTGAAGAAATGTTATGATTTAAGTCTTGGGGGTCTGTGGCCATGGCAAATACCATCTCCAAGGTATTTAAAGAGGATCTGTGGCGAAGAAAAGGTTTAGAACCATTGGGTTAGATAGTTTTAAAACAAAATTAACTATACATCATCATTCTGGACTCTACAGTTTTCTTAATCCAAGTCTCTGGAGATGGGTGAAGCATGATCTGTTCACAGCCTCTTGAATGACATTTTAAGGCCTGAAAAATCTAGAAAAAATGTTTGGAGATACATGGCCAACCACTTATTTGCTTGATTCTTGCCCTTTATTCACCCAGTATAAGAGATCAGGAGTTTCCTTCCTATAAGGAATAGTCTCAACTTCATTAAAGGCAGCTGCAATAAGAACAGACCTGATCATGGCATGTAGAACATGGGTGTCAAACTCACCACGTCACCTTGCCATGATGTGACATATCGTGACGTTTTTTCCCTTATCGGAGCTGACCTGCACATGACGCATCCAGTCCATGGGCTGCCAGTTTGACACCCCTGATGTAGAAGAACTGAATAATTGTAGATCTGCTGCCAACATCTCTTTCCTAAGCAAGCTATGGAAATAAATCATGGTTGAACAGAGCCAGGTGTTTCTGGGCAAAATCCATTGTGTCTAGGAACATTTGGCTCGGATCAGCCATGATTTTCTAGACTCAATCCAGTAGGGATTCATGTTGGCATTGAAATTGAATTATTCACCCAGTGGGATGATCATTGCCCACAGACAGATGGGGGACGACGGTTCTGAATCTTGAGCATTTCCCTGGATCTCTCAGCTGCTTTAGATACCATTAGTTAGATGTAAAGAGGATTGTTTTACTGCGGTTCTGCTTGTACCTGAAAACCTGACCTCAGCATTGTGCTGGGAAATTTCCTAAGTGATGAAATTTGCATTGTCTGTTATTTCTCAGCCCATTTATCTAACCCGGTGTTACTCAGCCTTGGCAACTTTAAGATGTATGGACTTCAAGTCTCTCATACTTCCCCAGCCAATTGATCTCACCTATCAAGAGTTTGAATTTTATTTCCCTTTTCTGGTGGTATTAGCGATCCCATCCAATTTCCTTCTCCTGCAGACTTGCTAAATGCTCACTCCATCTTTTCCTCCAATTCATGAAAGAAATTGATGAAGAGTGAAGGACCCAGCATTAAATGTTATGGCACTCTACGCACTACCTCCCTTCAGTTTAATGAGGAACCATTGACGAACAATCTCTGAGTGTGCTTTTTTAGGCCTTAACTGCAGTGCCATCCAGTCCGTACTTCACTAGCTTGCAAATCAGAATGCCATGGAGGATTTGATCAAAAGTTTGCAGAAATCAAAATACATTTCAGCATTCCTATTATCTCACAAGTAGTAATGCAATCAAACCCAGCATAAGATAGATCTAAAGATAGATCTGAGCAGTGGCTCAGTGGCTAAGATGCTGAGCTTGTTGATTGAAAGATCGGCAGTTCAGCGGTTCGAATCCCTAGTGCCGTGTAATGGGTGAGCTCCTGTTACTTATCCCAGCTTCTGCCAACCTAGCAGTTCGAAAGCACGTAAAAAATGCAAATAGAAAAATAGGGACCACCTTTGGTGGGAAGGTAATAGCATTCCGTGCGCCTTTGGAGTTTAGTCATGCTGGCCACATGACCACGGAGACGTCTTCGGACAGCA